TTTTTAGGAATAGAAGTTCATCTTAGTTACTTATGTTTTTCGTTTATTCACTCACTGAATATTTATTGTGACACATTATGTTCTATGTTTCTATGCTAGGTACTGAAGATAGATTTCTCAGATCATAGTTACTACCTTTGTCAAAAACTTAGAAGCCACTTGGAGCAGTTTATATTAATTAATAACAATAATTGTAAGAAAGTAATAGACAACATGAGAGCATATGGGAGGATAGAGTACTCAATATACTTTATGACATTTTTATGCTGGTAACATAAAAACCTGGTTTTTAACATCCTGTGTTCTTCCAACCCCATCGGCAGAGGTGTGTGTAAGTCAGCAACAAAGTTGTGAGGATGGGAGAGCTGTCTCCATTACTCACCTGTCATATGGTGTCATGGGAGGGAGAGGTGCCCCTGCACATCAATCCCTGAGGCAGGTAGGAGAGCTACCCTGAGGTCATAAGGGCAAAGAGCTTCTCCTACCAGCTACCAGGTGCAACACTTCAGAAAGCAGGCCCTTCACCTTGAGAGGGCAGCACAAGAGAGCCAATCTTAAGGGCAGAGGTGTGGGGGAACCAGGCCCGAAGTTTTGAGGATGGGAGAGCTGTCCCCATTACTCGTCTGTCATGTGGTGACATGGGCTGGGGAGAGCTTTCTCTGAGAGCATAAGGGTGGAAGATCTGCCCTTGTCTCCCCTGCCCCTCCCGCTAGCTGAAACACTTGGAAGAGCAGGTCCTGCACCTTGGGTGGGTAGCACAATAGAGCCAACGCCATGAGTGGAGGTGTGGATGAGCCAGGTCCAGGGTTGTGAGCATGGAAGAGTTGTCCCTATTGCCCATCTACCATGTGGAGGCCTTGGTGGGGTAGAAATGCTCCACCCGCACCTATCAACACCTGAGGCAGGTGAGAGCTGGCCCTGAAGTCATGAGACTGGGAGAGCTGAGGTAACCCTGTCCCTCATCAGCTGTATCACCTGGGAGAATGTCCCCTACACCATGCCTGGACAACACAGTAGAGCTGGCCCTGAAGGTGTAGGCGTGGGAGATCTGACCCTGATAACATGAAAGCAAGAGAACTGGCCCTATCCCTTGCTTGTCACGATAAGGGGTAAACTATCCAGGGAATACACCTTGGTGGTTAGGACAAGGAAGAGTTAGCAGGCTGACTTACTACCCAGGCCCAGAACCTGGGTTATGTGTTGACCAACAACAACAACTCATCTGTGATCTGCTGCAGCACATGAAAGGACTGAACCTGCAAACCCAAATTTGCATGACCTCCACACTGCAGAGCAGCAGCAGGATAACCAAGAGGAGTTGCAGTGAAGGTCCAACATCAATAGTGTAGCAGAAACCAGAGGCCTCGAACCAGACCAATGACACTTTACAATGAATACTTGCAAGTAAATATATGTATTATAAAGGGTTTATTGTCTAATTCACTGTGTCACACTACAGCTTCCAAGACAAGACTGATATTTTCCTTCTCTTTTTTTCTCTTAAATTTTATTTTATTTTATATTTGTGTGGGGTGTTGCAGAGGCAGAGGGAGGAGATGAAGGGACAGGGAAATGAATGGGATGGAGACACATGATATAAAAGACACAAAAAATAAATAAAAAAGAAGGAAGAAAAACAAACCAAACTAAAAAAAAATATCCTGTGCTCCTGGACCATTATCCTTAACACAATGCACAGGATCAGCATGATTCTACACCAGAAGGGGTCCTAGAAGTGAAAAAATGGATGTGCACCCCCATACCTAACCCAGAAGCTATCTCTATCTCTAATTGACAACTACCTGCAAATGAAATTTTAGGTTTTTTTTCTAATGGAGTTTCACCGGGGAAATAAACTACTCTGAGGGGTAAGTTTCATGCTCAGCAATAAATAGACAACAGTAGATAAAGAGCTGTTAAGCTGTGTCAGAGCTGTTCTTTTTCTTTTTAATATTCTATCATCTATCATCTATCTATCTATCTATCTATCTATCTATCTATCTATCTATCTATCTATCTATCTATCTACTATCTACTATCTATCTATCATCCATCTATCTATCTATCATCTATCTATAAATCTATCTACCTATTTATTTTAAAATTTTATGTGTATATTAAAATTCTATACATACATATATTATGGCTTCCAGATTTGTGTTTTAAGGGTATCCTGAATGTGCAAACAAATAGATCTCTGTATCTATTTCTGTATCTTCTGCTGTTTTGTCTCATTTTATTCTGTTTGTTTGATGTTTAATATTTTTATACGTTAGTTTTGCATTATCTTTATATTATGTCATATATATTATATTGTTATCACTAGGAATACTGTTTCTTTTCTAATTAGACAAAGGGAGTGGATCTGGACCAGAAGCAAAGTGGGGATGAATATGGAGGATAGAGGGAGGGAGGACTATGATTAAGATACATTATATGAAAAGCAATTTATTTCACAAAAGGGAAAAGCTTGTCATTTGAGCAAACAAATGGTATTTTGTATTTTAAATAGTCTACAAAATTCTATTTTAAATGTATTTCTTCTGATATAAACTATTCTTTGCCTATAATTTCATGTCCTTTTTCAAAGTTACACTTTTTAATAAGCTATCAAAATAAATATTTATTTATTGTTCCAAGACCTAGAGTCTTTTATTTGACTTTTAATGTTATTTAATGGTGTATTGTATGATTTCCCTTATTACTTTATGTGGTGTTTTGAATAAGAATGACCCCCCACACACACATAGGCTTATATATTTGAATGCTTAGTCACCAATAAATGCTACTATTTGAAAGGATTGGAAGGATTAGAGGCATGGCCTTATTAACAAAACTGTGTCACTGGGAGTGAATTTTGAGGTTTCAAATGTCTTTCTCAAATACAATGTCTTTCTCCCTGACTACAGATCAAGATGTAGCTCTCAACTACTTCTCTACCACCATGCCTGCCCTAATGCTGTCACCATAATGATAATGGACTAAGTCACTGAAACTATAAGCATGTCCCCAGTTAAATGCTCCATCTTTTAAGAGTTTCTGTGGTCATGGTATCTCTTCTCAATAGAACACTGACAAAGGGTAGCAGTTGATATCAGGGAGCAAAATATTGCTGTGGCAGACCTAACTATGCTGTTTGTTAGAGAAATATGGAAGAATTTGGGATTTCTGACTAGAATAGTGGTTAGACACTTAAAGTGGGGCTTGATGGAACATCCTTTTAGGAGCATGGAACACAGTACTGCGCATGATTTGTACTGTGAGGGCCATTTCAAGAGGATCCAGAGGGGAAGACTACTAGTAAGTGACCTAGAGAGACCATCTGTTCTTATGACAACTTGGCAAAGAATATGGTTCCTTTCTGTCCTTGTCTCAAAAAATTGCCTGAGGCTGAATTTCAGTTTTAGATGAATGGCATTGGCAGAGGAGATTCCAAGATGGCAGAATTTGGAATTTGATTTGTCGGGTTTGGGACTTGCTTTAGCGCAGTGTTTCCTCACTCTGCTCCCCTTCTCTCTTTTAGAATGGTGACATATATTCAATGCGATTGTTCTCTAGAGTTCTGTGGTCTACTTTTTGATCTTCAGTTTACAGAGGATTACATTGAGGCTCAGAGGAGACTTTGGACTTTGAACTTTTAAACAGTCTTGAGACCACGAAAAGATTATGGGGACTTCTGAAGTCAGATTGAATACATTTTTCCAATATGATATGGCTATAAATCTATGGGAGCCAGAAAGTGGAATGTAGTGGTGTGAATAAGACTGGCTCCCTAAAACTATGATATGTTTGAAAACCTAGTCACGATTGAGTGACACTATTTGAAAGGCTTAGAAGGATTAGGAGGTGTGATATTGTGGAAGGAACTGTGTCACTGGGGATTGACTTTGAGATTTCAAAAGCCCATGCCTAGCACAGTGTCTTTCTCACTGCCCACAGACCAGGATGTAGCTCTCAATTACTTCTCTAGTACCAAGGCTGCCACGGCTGCTATGCCTGCCACAGCGCTCCATGCCATGATGATAATGGACTAAGCCTCAGAAATTGTAAGCATGGCCCCAATTAAATGTTTTCTCTTATAAGAGCTCCTGTGGTCGTGGTGTCTCCTCACAAAAATAGAACAGTGACTGAGACATTTTATATGTTCTCAAAAGAAATACCGGCTTTAGATTGCTGTCATTATGCTTGGTCACCTTAAAATGGCCTACATCATACTTCAATGTGAAGAATATTTTATCTTCTTAAAAAATATTAAATGCCTCTGACATAGTTTTTGATGTGTTCAGCATATTGATACAAAAGTTGCAGAAATTAGGGCTGGAGAGATGGCTCAGCGGTTAAGAGCATTGCCTGCTCTTCCAAAGGTCCTGAGTTCAATTCCAGCAACCACATAGTGGCTCATAACCATCTGTAATGAGGTCTGATGACCTCTCCTGGCCTGCAGGCATACATGCAGACAGAATATTGTATACATAATAAATAAATTTTTAAAAAAACAAGTTGCAGAAATTATATTGTAGAAACTGAATTTCAAACGAAGAGTATACCACTTGCCTCTACTTAAGGCTCATCAGTTTTACACTTACACTTCTTTAGATATTTTTAATAAAAAGGATTTATTGCAAATAGTGTCAAATACATGTTTGTTTTATGGGAACCTCTTCTATAGTCACTCATAGAATCTACTGTGCACAGATGCAAATAAACATTTTCTGAATGAGCAAATGAGTGTGTTAGTGAGTGAGGGAACAGCTCTCTTGCCATGCATTTACATCACTTCTGACAGTTTAACATTTACCACAGCAAGGCAGCACCAAGCAAAGGTGGTGTACTTACACCCCAGGTGTACCAGAAAGTGCCAAAAATAATGTTATTAAGAATCTGATGCTTGTATGTATACATACATATACATACATATATATACACATACATACACACAGATACACACACATAAGCATATATATATATATTTCAACATAAATTAGACAATCAATACATACCATTATCAAAGTATCTGACAGTTGAGTTTCTGGATACACTAGGATCAAAATTTGCCATTAAAGGTGCTATATACTGTGTGGCTGTTAGCATTCGGTGTACAACTTCTCCAGTGTATATGAAACCTATAACGAGAAGAACAGGAAATTTTTAAAGAAAGATTGCCAGATAAAATTATAACAAAAACAGCTATGATTCGATTGTAGGGACATTAAAACAGGAAAAATACTTAACATCTTAATGTCTGATTAACAATATATTTTGTTCTGGATAGAGTAAAAATGCTCATACAATTTGTCAGCATCCAGTAGAACCGCTTGTTAGTAATTCGTAATAGGTACACTTTTAATAGTGCAGAGTGACTCTTACCTCAGAGCTAATGTTAAACTAAAGAAGTTCAACACAGTACTAAAGAAAATCAAACCTTCCATTTTTATCTTCTGCATTCTTAACACTAGCCTAAACCGCAAATCTTTTACAGGTGAGTTGTATTCCTTACATTTATTTGCGGGTTTTGATTTTGGGCTGTTGGCAGTGATGCAGACCAAACCCAGGACCTCACACATGAACTTAAGTAAACACTTTAGAACAGAGCTACATCCTCAGTCTTGAGTTTTCCTAAAATGCTGTGCCTGCAAAAACAACAACAACAAAACCCATATTCTAAGTGAATGTGAATATTTTTATCTTTTGTTTTGTTTTGTTTTCTTAAAACAAGTTGAAAGGGAGCCAAGTAACTCCATGATATATTGTCCAAATTTTAGTTTGCCAAAGCCTTTCTAATTCTCGGTCATATTATGAAGAGGCAATCTACATATTTGTAGATAAGATGGAGAAATTCTGAGAAACTACAAGTGCCCCTTCTTTGTGAGTTCTTGGCATTAACCTATCTCAGGAGGTGCTTACTGAGAGGCATTTACTGTGGGGGCCTTGAGCTTTGAACTAAATTTCAGTAGTTCTTGTTTTACACCCCTAAGGTGTTTACAGTTTATTCACACTGAGATTATCCACTCTGGCTTTATCTATTTTGTGAAAGATCCATGACAAATTGCCAATCTCACACTAGCTTTCGGTCTCCTATTGACTCCACCTGAGGGAAGAGTCAGTTCAGGAAACACTAGACAATTTTCAAATTAATCAAAAAAGAAACAATCAAGAATAAACATGAAAACAAACCTGCATACAATATTATAAAATAAAATTCAAAGCAAATGATGCAATTGGAATGTTCACATAATGATGACATCACTAGAGAACCGAAATTACTATGGATCATTTTTTACAAGATTAAAGACGCAAGATTCCTTGGAAAAAAACCTATAATATATAAGCCTCAAGTGTCAAATATTTTACCTCAGTTATGACCCGAATAAAGATTTCCTTAGGATATTGAGGATTACATGGTTTCAAATTATAAATTGTGATTTCTATGTAAGTCACTATTAAATTAAATTAAATCTGTAGTTATTAGTCTATTCAGGAAGATTTTACTGTTAACATGATAAATGACTGCTTTCTATTAGAAGAAAGTGTACTGATAGGATCTCTTTATCATATTTCTCTCTAGAATTCCATCATTCCCTCAGATGTACTTACTCATAATTACAAACACAAAAAGCAGCCATTTTTCAGACCCTGTAATTAATTTTTTTCTTGCTTTCATCATGATTCATTTATAATTTTACCTTTAGAACAGACACAAAAATGTCTACAGATGAGACCTTGAAAGCAAATGTTTTAATTAGACCATGAAAGAGTCCTTTCAGAAAGCGTGAGCCCTAGGTGTGCTTCCTGACTCCATAGTCTCTGTGTGGGGATGGATGAGACCACTTAACTGAGAGAAGGGTAAAGGGAGAGGATCCTAGATCACTACAGAAGCCATTTTCCACATGCACTCTGTGCCAGAGCAGAAGGAATTCCTAGACACGCAGTTAGAGATCAATGACACTCGTGATTTCAGATACTTCATTAACTTTTACATCACTGCTGTTTTGACTGACAGGTAGCATCGGTATTACTGACAGGTAGCATTGGTATGAAGTGCACAGTAATGTTTTAATCCATGTATGAATTATAGTAATCAATGAAAAGGTACTGTGTTATTTATTACCTTCCCATTTTGCTTTTTGTTTGTAGTACACCTGACACTCTTCTTAATATTTATATACCTCATTATTGTTGGCGACCACTCTGCCAGTAAAGGCCTCGAGGGTTTGTTTCTACATAACTGTGACATTGAATGAGCCCTCCTCTCTTTACCCTCTCCATATCTGTCTCTAGTAACTGCTCTTGAACTCTCATCATATTCCAGATCAACCCTTTTAGTCTCTATCTATGTAACTATTTTTATTCATATTTGAGACAGGGACAATGTAAGCACGTGTCCCTACATATTTCCACAGAAATTTGGCAAGAACATATTTTCTTTTTATAACTATACTTTCTCTGGCCAATATTTTCCTCAGAACTTACAAGTTCACATATTTTAAAGAAGTTTCAAATAATTCCCAAAGAATGAAGTAAACACTCAGAAGAATTTGTTTACTGTAAGAAGCAGAGTTGCAATTCCCTTTTCTACAATTATTGCAACACTGAAATGAATCAGAAGGCAAGATGACTCAGTGAGCAAAGGTGCTTATTCTCAAGAGAACCGGCCTGAATTCATTCACTCGGAACCAAGGCAAAAAAACAAAAAACAAAAACAAAAAAACAAAAAAAAAAAACAACCTACTCCTACTCCAGACAGTTGTTCCCTACCAACCTACCAATAACATGACATGTACACATGCTTGCACACACGCACATGTACGCACACACAAAAGTAAATAAATCCATCAATTAGATAACAGTTATGAAGTTTATAATAATTTCAGTTTGGGGTGGCACTTGACTGTTGCTCCCCCAATGAATAGGCCACTATCACTACTACAATCACCATTAAGATCAGCTCCACAGAAGAAGGGAGGGAATGCAATACTCTGGCAGACTTCCTGATCCAGGGAATACTTTAGAACTTTCCTTGACTATACTAGAAACTCATATCTGTTAGTAATTCCAGTTGTTTTAAATGATCAAAATGCTCGTTTTTAGCAAAAGTCTCTACTACTTAGTTCTTTAGCTTATAGATCTTAAAAGTAATATTTCAGCTGTGCTATGGAATGGAGAAAAGGAAAACTTCCTGAATTCAGGGTAGAGTAACTTGGTGTTGGGTAGGGACTTCCTATGTGAGCTAACACAGCTCGTCCTTTGCAAATACTCATAGCTATGTAGTCCACAGTTTTAAACCTTTGCCTTTCTAACTTGATGCCAAAGAAACCAAATACAAACATATTTTTAATTTTACACATTTTATGCTTATGCTTTTCCTTTCTTTTTTTCTTTTTGACTTTTTTTTTGAAAGTAATTTTATTAAATTATAAAAGTTTCCATTACCGCCACGCCTCCCAACACCCTCCCACTCCCCCCACTCCCTCTCCTCCTCCCTCTCCATCCCTAAGAGCAGTCAGGGTTTCCTGCCCTGTGGGAAGTTCAAGTTCCTCCCCCCTCCCTCCAGGTCCAGGAAGGTGAGTGTCCAGACAGACTGGATCTGCAAAATCCAGTATATGCAGAGGAAAGAAGTCCCAGTGTCATTGTCAATGGCTTTTCAGAAAGACTCCGGGCCAGCCACATTCAGAGAATCCGGCCACATTCAGAGAATCTGGTTGGATCGTGTCCTCGTTCAGTCCCAGTCCAACTGGCCTTGGCAAACTCTCATTAGATCCGTCCCCTTGTATCAGTGGGTGATCGCATCCCTCGCAGTCCTTATTTCCTTTTTCATTTTCTTCATCCTTCTGCTCCTCATTTGGACCTTGACCAGGTATTACCCCACAAACATATGAACACCTGATATTTGACAAGGGAGCTAAAGGTATACAATGGAAGAAGGAAAGCATGTTTAACAAATGGTGCTGGCATAACTGGATGTCAACCTGTAGAAGAATGAAAATAGATCCATATCTATCACCATGCACAAAACTCAGGTCCAAATGGATTAAAGACATCAACATTAATCCGACCACTTTGAACCTGATAGAAGAGAAAGTGGGAAGTAGTCTACAAGATATAGGCACAGGAGACCACTTCCTAAGCAGAACCCCAGGAGCGCAGACAATAAGAGAAACAATGAATAAATGGGACCTGCTGAAACTGAGAAGCTTCTGCAAAGCAAAGGACAATGTCAGTAAGACAAAAAGACTACCTTCTGACTGGGAGAAGATCTTCACAAACCCCTCATCAGACAAAGGTCTGATCTCCAAAATATACAAAGAACTCAAGGAACTAGACACTAAAACTCTAATTAACCCAATTAAAAAATGGGGTACTGATCTGAACAGAGAATTCACAACAGATGAACTTCGAATGGCCAAAAGGCACTTAAGGTCATGCTCAACCTTCTTAGCGATCAGGGAAATGCAAATCAAAACAACTTTGAGATATCATATTACACCTGTCAGAATAGCCAAACTCAAAAACACCAATGATAGCCTATGCTGGAGAGGATGTGGAATGAGGGGAACACTCATCCATTGTTGGTGGGAATGCAAACTTGTGCAGCCACTGTGGAAATCAGTGTGGTGGTTTCTCAGGAAACTGGGAGTCAACCTCCCTCAGGACCTAGCAATTCCACTCTTGGGAATATACCCAAGAGATGCCCTAACATACTACAAAAGCATTTGTTCAACTATGTTCATAGCAGCACTATTTGTAATAGCCAGAACCTGGAAACAACCTAGGTGCCCCTCAATAGAAGAATGGTTAAAAAAGGTGTGGAACATATACACATTAGAGTTTTACTCAGCGGTAAAAAACAATGACATCTTGAATTTTGCATGCAAATGGATGGAAATAGAAAACGCTTTACTGAGTGAGGTAAGCCAGACCCAAAAAGAGGAATATGGTATGTATTCACTCATATGTGGATTCTAACCATAATTAAAGGTCTTTGAGCCTATTATTCGTGATCCTAGAGAAGCTAAATAAGAAGGTGAACCTGATGAAAATCATGTAGCTATCCGCCTGGAGATTGGAAATAGACAAGAGTCCCAGAACCTTCATCTGGCGATGGATGGAGATAGAGACAGAGACC